AAGAACACCAAAGACACAAGGAAAGTAGTAGCCTAAGAGACAGAAAGGGCCACATAAACCAGAGACTTCATCAGCCTGAGACCAGAAGAACTAGATGATGCCCGGCTACCACCAATGACTGCCCTGACAGGGAACACAACAGAGAGTCTCTGATGGAGCAGGAGAAAGATGGGGTGCAGAACTCAAATTCTAGTAAGAAGACCAGACTTAATTGTCTGACTGAGACTGAAGGAACCCCGGAAAGCATGGCCCCTGAACTCTCTGCCAACCCAGAACTAAAACCATTCCCGAGGCCAACTCTTCAAAGATTGGACTGGACTTAAAATGATACTCGTGAAGAGTGTGCTTCTTAGCTCAAGTAGATACATGAGACTAAATGGGCAGCTTCTGTCCATAAGTGAGATGAGAAGTCAGGGAGGGTTAGGAGCTGGCTGAATGGACATGGGAATTCAAGGGTGGAAAGGAGTGTGCTGTCACAGTACAGGGAGAGCAACTGGGGTCACATAACAATGTATGTATAAATTTTTGTATGAGACTAACTTGAAATGTAAACTTTCACTTAAACTACAACAAAAAAAAGGTAGTTACGAAAGAAGTATTTTGAGATGTCAACAATAAAAAAGAAAGGAACTTCTACAACAACATCTATCTGAGATTTTTGTCTGGCCATAGAAGGCCATGTCTGAGTGAAAGGCAGAAGGTAGATACCACAGGCCCAGGTAGCTCCCCCTCCGTGATCCCTCCTACCTGAGGCCACCTTCGGTTGGTTGCCAACAATACCAACAGTCCTTCCGTTCATTCTTGCAAAACCAACAACAATGTTCTTGGCATAACTGGGCATTATCTCAAAAAATTCTCGCTCGTCAACAACCTGTAGGAATAAATTTACCTCTGTGTTCAAAATGGTAAAGACAAGTAAAAGATGCAGGAATTATACACACCACTGTCTGGAGTTGCCCCCCATACCAAAGGTTATCCAAGGAAACAAGACAGTAGGCAATGGCAGCAGCTCCACACACTCAAGGCTTTTGCCTCTAATTGATTCTTCTTGTCTAATTTGATGAGCTAATACTTCCAACACAATGTTAAACAGTAGTGGAAATACTGGGCATCCTTGTCTTGTTCCTGAGATTAGTGGAACTACCTCTAATGTTTCTCTGTGAAATACGACACAGGCTTTTGAAAAGGTGTACACTAAATTTCATCATGTTGAGAAAGTATCCATCAGTTCCTATTTTCTAGAGTGTTTCTGTCAGGAATGGGTGCTAAATTGTCTTAAAGACTTTTTTCAGCATCTATAGAGATAATCAATATGATTAACAGTTTATTCTAGATTTTCTAATATTGAGACAACGTTGCATTCCTAGAACAAATTCCACTTGGTCACGGTGTTTATTATCTTAATGTGGTGTTGGAGTCTGCTAGGTTAATATTTCATTTGGTATTGCTGCATCAATATTAGTAAGTGACATTAACCTGATAATTTTCTTTTTAAGTACTATCTTTATCAAGTTCAGGTATCAATATTATACCTACCTCATAAAAAGAATTTGTAAGTTGTGAGTGTGTGTACGTGTGTGTGTTTCCATTTTCTATGCTCTGGAGAAGCCCTAGTGGCACAGTGGTTAAGAGCCTGGCTGCTAACCAAAAAGGTCAGCAGTTTGAATCCACCAGCCACTCCTTAGCATTGGGACTATTTGGTCTTTGAGGGTTTCACAGAATTTCCACACGAAACTTGGGCTTTGTGCTTTTTTGTGTGTGAAGTAGTTGCTTCTATGGAATTTGGTCTGTTTAGGCTTTCTACCTCTAATGGGGTCAATTTCTGGTAAAGCTGTGTTTTCCTAGGAAATTATCCATTTTATCTAGTCCCTTCTGAATTTTAAATTTCTCCTGTTTCAATGGTCATTCTCCATTCCCACTTCATTTCTGTATTTGTGCTTTCTCCCTTTTTTCTTGACTAAGTGAGCTGGAGTTTGCTCTATTTTATTCATTATACCTATTGTTTTTCTATTCCCTACCTATTTGTGCATTTATCCTTACTAAATAGTTTCTTTTATTTTTGATTATTTTAGGTCTCCACCCCGCCTCGTCTTGGCTTTTTGAGCTAGAAACCTAATTTATTTTCCTTCTTTCATTTTTACTACGTTTAAGGCTATAAATTTTCTTCTGCTCATTGCTTTAAACGTACTCCACAGACTTTGATGTGTATTGTTTTCATTCTTTTTTCCTTCAGAAATCCTATCATTTTGGTTTGTATTTCTCCGTCTCACCTAAGAATTATTTAATAAAAAATTTATTTAATTTCCAGGTGGGAGGGTGCTTTTCAGTTTTTTTTCTCCTTGGTGTTCTTACTTTCTAGTTTTGATCAGTGTTCGTAATATTTTTGGTTTATGGGATTTAATGATGCTTTCTTTCTGACCTAATATATGATCAACTTTTGTGACTGTTCCATGTGTACTTTAATATAAGATTGTCTATTACCAGGGTGTAAAGTCTGAAATATATCCATAAGATCTACCTTATTATGTTATTTAGGTCTCCTACATCTTACTTATTTTCATCCATTTGACCTGCCTTGTCCTAAGAATGGTGTATTTAAGTCTTCTATTATCAATGTGTTTCTACCTATATCTCCTCGGATCTCCCATAGTTTCTGCTTTATATTATTTGGTGCATAGAGGTTTTACATCTTTTTTGCCATTAATGTGAACTGTGGCATCTAGCATTTGAAAATGTCCTTCTTTGTCACAGTTAATACTTGAATTTTACTTTGACTGAGATAAGAATCACAAACACTGCTTTCTTATTGTTTCTCTTTTCCTGGCATGCCTTTGTTCATCCCTTATTTTTCATCTTTATGAATCATTTTAAGCGTCTCCTGTATACAGCATATAGTTGGTCTTGCTTTGTGAGACAAACCGAACACTCTTTTCTTTAAATAAATGAGGTAAGCCCATTTATGTCAGTTAAGACAATAACCACATTTATTGGTATGATAAATATTTGGTTTTTACTCTGTCATATTATTTTGTTATAATTACTATGTGTATCATGCTATGTTTGCTCTTTCTTAATGTGATATGTTTTATTTAGTTTCTTTGGGAAGGTCTGTATTTTTGTTCTAGTAGTTACCTTTTGTCTTAGTTATCTAGTGCCGCTATAACAGAAATGCCACAAGTGGATGGCTTTAACAAAGAGAAATTTATTCTCTCACAGTCTAGGAGGCTAGAAGTCTAAATTCAAGGTGCCAGCTCCAGGAGAAGGCTTTCTCTCTCTGTCATCTCTGGAGGAAGGTCCTTGTCATCAATCTTCCCCTGACCTAGGAGCTTCTCAGCGCAGGCACCCCGGGTTCAAAGGACGCGCTCTGCTCCTGACACTACTTTCTTTGTGGTATGAGCCCCTCACTCCCATCTCTCTGCTTGCTTCTCTCTTTTATATCTCAAAAGAGACTGACTCAAGATACTACCTAATCTTGTAAAGATTGAGTCCTGCCTCATTAACATAACTACCTCTAATCCTGCCTCATTAACATCATAGAGGTAGGATTTACAACACGTAGGAAAATCACATCACGTGACAAAATGATGGACAATCACACAATACTGGGAATCCTGGCCTAGCCAACTTGACATATAGTTTTGGGGGACACAATTCAATCCATGACACCTTTGTAACTTAACTTTTTATTGTGCTTAGTCCTGTTTCCTTATTTAACCTTTTATTAACTGGTTTGTCTATTTTTAATATCTGTTGATTCTCAATCATTAATAAACTTATTTTGCTATACTCTTTCCCTTTTCTTTCTCCTCCCATTTTTTCAGTTGCATTTTTTTCTGTAACTAAGCATGTAACATTTATATGTTATCTCCACTCTCATCCCCACCATTTAGTCTCAGATTTACAATTAAATATGTTAAATCATCATCATCAGTTCTTTTGCTGAAATTTCCCATCATCCCTTGGTTGGATGATGCTCATCCTCTATTAGATTTCTCAAGAAGGGGTTGGGAATACAATCTCCTCAGTGCTTGCATTTTTAAAACCAGTCTTCTATAGTTTTAATACACGAAGTTCAGCTTGGCTAGATATAAAATCCTTAGGCATAGACTCTTTGCTTGAGTCTCCTGAAAATGCTTTTTCATTGTGCCTTGCTTTGTGTGTTACTTTTGAAAAGACCGATGCCATTCTAATTCCCTGCTCTTCTAAGTTATTTGATCCTGTTGCCTAAAGGTCCTGAGGATTTTTCTTTACTTTTAAAACCTAATGGGTATACTTGGGTATTTGCTAAAGTTTGATCATTCTGGGTCAATTTACCCAGGTACTCAGTGGGCACTCATTTTGTAGATTCAGGTCTTCTTTTATTTCTAGAATGTTTTCTTGGATGATACTTTTAAGTACTCATGCTGCTCCACTGGACTGTCTTCTTCAAAGAACCCAATTATATGTATATTTGGTCTTCTTTGCCTGTCTTACTTTTTAACCATTTTCTTTCTGATCCTTTTTACTTCTTTATCTCATTTGTATTCTCTAATTTCCCCACTTTTTTTCAATGCTCCTTATTAAATTTTCATTCAAATTTATTTTCCCTTGTTGTTACTGTCAGCTACCATTCAGTTGGCCCCCAACTCATGGCAATCCCATAAACAATGGAATGAAATGCTGCCCAGTCCTGAACCATCCTCATAATTGATTGTGAATTGAACCATTGTGATTCATAGGCTTTTCATGGGCTGATTTTTTAATGCAGACTGCCAGGCTTTTCTTCCTATTCATCTTAGTCTGGAAGCTCTGCTGAAACCTCTTCTGCATCATAGCAACACACAAGCCTCCACTGATGGATGGTGGCTGCACATAAGGTGCACTGACCAGGAATCGAACCCTGGTCTCCTGCACGGAAGGCAAGAAGACACTGAACCACCACTGTCCCCATTCTCCATTGAACACCTTGGGGGGAAACATTCCCCCGCCATTTTCTGAATTCAACCAGTTTTAATTTTACTTTTTCCTATTTCCTATCCATTCTGTCGTTAGTTTCTGAATCTCTGATTTTCATAACCTCAAATGCTTATTTGAGGCTACTAAATTCACTGAAGTGTGATCATGTGCTTCATGGTTGATTTTTACAGTGGAGGGAGTTTCATCAACTGTTTTAATTGTTAAGTTTTATTACAGTAGCTTTATATAAATGAAGGCTACTTGTATCTCTGAATTTTGTGGAAAGGGTTGGTAGTTTGAGATGGTCAACAAGATTCCTAGATAAAGAGCACCCTCCTCTGTCAGTAGAGCACAGTACAATTTAATTAATGAGTGGCTAGATTTTAGGGAGGCCAGTGGGGAAAGTGTAGTGTGTCCTTCTGTTTTTCGGCTTTTATTTGTCTTGCAGGTACATAAATTTACCCCTCTTGCTTCATTTTCCCTTCACTTCACAACTGCCAAAGGTGCCTCTCCCTTCCTTATCCCCTTTATCTCCAGAAGCAATGCCTTTCCATGACTGCCTTTTTGAGTTTGTGTGTACTTTTAAGTACCTTCCATGAAAGTCACTGATGTGATCTAACTAGGCTCTCTTTCAGTATTTTCAACCTTAGAATGAACTTTCTCTTTCCTGGGAATTATTTTATCTCAACCTTCTTTTCTCTCTTCTGTGTAATTTCTCAAGAATAGCCCCCACCCCAACTCTCCACAGAGACTTGTAGTGGGAGCTCAAGAAACTGTTCTACTAGAAATTAGTGTTTATTGTTCTACTTTAGATTTATTTGAAGTTTGTAATGTCCTGTCTTCCAGTTATGATGGAGGCGTGGGGATATTAGTTTTATTTGTTCTTCCTGTTGACCTGAACAGCTTTTGGACAATGTGCAGAGAGTTTGAGATTTA